TTTTTTTTTTCAAAGGACATAAAGGTGAAAACTCTTTTTTTTTAAATTGCCCAATGGCCAAAAAAAATACTGGTTTCTTCGGTTTCCTTACTTTGAGGAGCCCTTGATTTCGTCACGATACACATACTTTTTTTTCTGTATTGATAAAGTATGGGCTTTTCAACAACAGGAATGAATAACAATTTCAGCAGCACAAGTAGTTTTCTAAGACAACGGGTTCATACACATTATCTAAATGAATTAAAAGCATCCCCCAATAACTTTAATCAAAGGTGTAGAGGAGAAAAAAGAGGCTCACGATACAACAGGAAGATTCAAATCTCAAAGATGCACTCAACATGATGATATCTGATGCAGCGGTCACATATATAGGCCTACATCTCTCCTATTGAGAATATTCCTTTCAGGAAACTGGAAGTACACTTAACAAAATCGCAACAGACCACAATAAAGGCATATCTTATTAATTAATGCTGAAGTTTCGCTTCCGTCAAGAATGGCTGTCTCTACATTGTAAAGCAAAGCAAATGTATAATTTAACGGTCAGTGTCATGAAACACCCAGTCTGGTATAACAGCAAAAGAAAATTGTAGCTGTGGCATAAGAAGGTGTGCAGTATTTTAGATAGGTTTTGAGATTCTCTTTCTGAAATGGCAGCATCAGGAAAAGTTACAAGATACACCACAAGACAGGATGATGAGAAAAAAACCTTGCTATGTTATGCTTCATACGACTACAGACTTAAAACCAATCTCACCTTTCGTAATACAAGCAGAAATTGACAAATAGCGACAAACCAAATGAAACTTTCCCGAACACACACATTCTGAAGCCTAAAACATATGAATAGATTTAGATACGGAAAGAAACTCTGCGGACATGACAATTCTTTTAAGCTATGAACATAACACAAACATTTAATAAGCCGTACAGGAACTCATACATACATATATAATATGTATTATAAAACATTAGACCATCACTGGAAATAAAGAAAAGTAAATCTGAGAAAAGTCTGGAAAGATTAAATTAAAGTTATAATAAAATTATGACAGTATTTTACACCAAAAAAATGTGACCAATGAATTCTCATAAGTTTTCTTTGGTTCATATGTACAACACGCACAAAAATACACGAAACAAGAAAAGAAACTGATACATACGTCAACTAAGGAAAAACATAAACGGCTCAATAAAAACCCCATAAAATGTCCTGGGGCAACATGGATGGCAGAAGCTGTAGACAAATCACTGTACCCTTGTTCATTACCACATTCATAAAAAAAGCCGGCTACGTATAAACTAGAATTGACTCTTGGACACTAGGCACCATAAAAAATGCCATACCTTAATTTTCAGTCCCCAGAAAGGATTACACAGCACAAAATTAACGTCTTCTTGATTCAGTAAGACTTCTAAAATTTGATCACAAATGTAAGTAATACACATCTAATGTCTTACCCAAAAGCCCCCCCCCCCCCTCCCCCTCCACCGAAAAAAAAAAAGAACCAAACGCAACATCCTCTCAGAATAAAAAATGACTGGATCAGAGCATGAAAGTAAAACAAAACAAAAAAAAAGACCAAAGGGAAGCAACTGAATATCGCATTGTGTCACCCCTGTGAATACATTTATAACCCAACCCAAAAAACCTTTTTTTTTACAGTTTACTGAAATTTCCAGAAATCAAGGACAGTAGGTATATAAATTTTAGCCCTCCTGTAAGAGCAGAGTAACAATAAAGGAAATTACTCAAAGGGCCCAGAACAGTTCCAGACTTTGGTCACAGTAACAACACGCTCAAAAGCACTGGAAGAAAAAAATTGTGACAGCAGACGGCAACACTGACAGAATAAAAACATGCAGGGCGGTAACCGCCCAATCTTGTAAGGCTTAAAATCATTAATTAATTCTGCAAAAAAAATTCGGCTCTGCCCAGAAAAGCAGAGACAGACTGGTTTTGTTATTCAATCACAGTCAGAGCCAGCAGGAAAAGTCAGAGAATGAATTTTAAAAATCGCTGAACGACAGCAAATTAGAGAACACAAAATAACACCAGCTTTGAGCAAAGCAACAAGCCAAAAATACCCCTGTACCCCCCCCCCCCCCTCCCCACTTATACAACAAAAAAACCAAAACAATCCCAACAACAAAAACAGATTGAAAATGTAAAAGCAAAAGAGCAATAATAATGGAATCTTGAATCATGTCCTCAACACAGCAAAGACATTACCCTGTCTGGGCATGTCAGGCATTTCTCTAAACAAATTTCACAATAAATCACACGGAGCAAAACCCAACACAACGACGACAAAAACGACAACTCGAGCCGTCAGTGCTCTGTCTTCACACACGGTCACATTTCTTTAATGACATATGCTGTCGTGTATCTCTTCTCCAAAATGGATTAGGACTTGTCTCGTAAGGACCACTTTAAGAGCTTTCATATGCCCCCAAATAAACTACAGGTCACAATCATTCACAATGTTCACACATATATACACACGCACTGCCTCCTCTCACCTCAGCAGTGGACTGCCAGTTGTGTGACAATCCAACCACTAAAGTTTTCATTAACATCAATGACTGTAAAAAATTACACACAATGCATGCACTTAAAACTAGCAACGTCGCATTGATTGTGTGTCTGTGTGATGATGGCCTAGGCTAAAAATGGTTGAAGCTGACGAGAATGAATATATCACGATGATGAACTTGGTTGATTTCTGTAGCAATCAATGCGGGGGTGGTTGAGAGGTTGGGGGGGGGGGGGGGGGCAAGAAAATAAGCTACGACTCGACAAATGAGGTGCCGTGCTGAGAGCATTCTGGAGGGCAATGGAACAAACGTCGGAATCCTGAACATACAACAGAGAGGCTGGTTGTCTAGAGAAAAACAGTAATACGTCCTATACCGACTAAACCTGTGGGATAGAGATGGGGGGGGGGCGTAATCATGTTGTATGGAAAGGGACTGGGGTGGGACGGGTGGGGAGAAGGTTGTGAGGAGTGAGGAGGTTGTGAGGAATGAGAAGGTTGTGAGGAGTGAGAAGGTGGAGTCAGCAACTATGCGAACCAGGGTTATCAGCACTGCATGACACAAACTGAGAAAACCTTTGCTTTAAATCAACAGATCCTCACCGGGATTAATACAATTTCTCATATTTACTGAACACCTAAAGGTTATGAAAAGGCAAAAGTCAGGGTTTCATGTAATACGATATGTCAACAAAGTCATGCCCATTAATTAGGAGCACAAGCCCCAGGCCTGCAAACTGATACTCACCGACACACGTTTGTTTTGTTTTAGTAAGTGTTTTACGGCACTTGCAAAACAATAAGGTCATAGAAGTGCTGAAGATTAGAGGTGTTACAAGAGAGTAACAAAAACAAAAAAGGAGGGGAGATAGAGACGGTATATTTTTTATAGGAAAGAAGGAGCAAACCACACCAGAGCACCCGCCAACCACCCACACACAACGTTCGTGTACTCACCCACACACAAACATGAACACATGACGTAGAGTTTCTTTAGTTTTAGTCAAGAGTTTTATGGCACTAGCAAAACAAATAGGTCGCATAAGTGCCAAAGATTAGAGGTGTTACAAGAGAGTAACATACTAAGAAAAGAAGGGGAGAAGAGGAGGATGTTTGTTTGAAAAAAGAAACACCTTCCAACCACCTGCACACAACATACAATATCATTGTCTAAAAACTTGGGACTACAGACAATGACATCACAAAACAGAAAAAGTGGCTTTTGTTCTGGGTGCCAAACCCAAAAAAAAAACATGTAAAAACACAATAACAGACATGTAACATGAACAACACATTTACGAGCATACAAAACATTTACACACATACAAAAATACAATCTAACAGACTGCCACGGCATTGGAACGAAGAGTCGAAGCCTATGCACTATTAGACAAATAACGTGTATACACAGACATTCAATGACACGTTTACACACACATTCACAGACACAAACACTCCTGCACAGGCGTAAAAGCATACATAACATCACAGATATATTATACAAATGTTCACAGACACGAAGACTCATGTACAGGTGTGTAAAAGCAATACAACATCACACAGACATTACACACACACAAACACACACACACACAGACTGCTTCCTTGATCTCAAGCCTGAGCAAAGACATTGCCTTGCCGGCCATCATTCCCCACAGGAGTTCAAACATTGCAACGCTCACACTCACAGGAGTTCAAACATTGCAACGCTCACACTCACAGGAGTTCAAACATTGCAACACTCACACTCACAGGAGTTCAAACATCACAGCGCTCACACTCACAGGAGTTCAAACATTGGAACGCTCACACTCACAGGAGTTCAAACATTGGAACGCTCACACTCACAGGAGTTCAAACATCACAGCACTCACACTCACTGAAGCAGTAGCTGGAGCAATATTTGGCGACCCCTCAGGAAGGAATGCAGTCTTTAATCACACACTCATAGACTGCTCAGTGTAAGGAGACCCCGTTATACGTCAATTTCCAAAATGGCTTTGGCGGATTCTTACACTTAGCAATAACCTACATATTTCCCACACACCTGTACAACAATCACACCACATAGAATACTACATCGACACACCACAAACAAAAAACTCTGTTCTACGCACACGCACAAAAACAAAGACCAGTTTCGAGAATGGCTAGTCTTTCGTGCTATGAATGCTGTTATGACAACTTCCCCCAAGAACTCTCAATACAGAAAGCACGTTACCACAAGCCAAACCTTTTCTGGACTTCTTTGATGCTATGTCATTAGGTGGGAGGTGAGAGGGGACGGAAAGTTCATATATGCAAAGAAATTAAAACAAAATGGAAAAAGAAAAAACGG